ACCCAAAACACGCCCCCCAACACACCCTCCCCCCCCCCAAAAAAAAGGCCTGCTGAGGCACAGGCAGTAAAAGTAGGGTAGCCAGCAGCAGGGTCACAAGGGGGGACTGAGCCCTCCTGGGCGCTCTGGGAGACGGACTTCATGTGCCGGGACACAAAGGGCCCCTTTTCAGCCGGAGCTGCTTACCCTGAGCACTAAGCAGAGGGTGACGCGAAAGGACCCATGGGGATGGGGACCAGCAGGGAGCCTGACAGCTTCTCCTTCCAGCTCACGTGGACTGAGACTGGGTCATGTCTCGTACACTGGAGGCTGATTGCATGGGGGGTTTTGTGATGGGAAGAGAGCCAGCAGGCAACAGGGAAATTCCCAAAAAGCCCCATGTCGGCATTTCCCCCTCCCCACAGCACCTATTTTGGGGTCATACTGCCAGGTTTGCAAATGCACCAAAGAATCCCTTCCCCAAAGCTTTAAGACAACGCTACGCAACAGGGGTGCCTCCCCAGAGCACCCCCATCTCCCTGCCCTCGGCAGTACAGGGGGCTGCGGGGAGCCCCTCAACCCTCCCCAGGACAGGAGCATTGTGCCCCGCTGTGTACGGATGGAGATGACCCACTTAGCGTGAAGAGTTTATTTATTATTATTATTATTAAAGTGCAGAAGCCAAAGAAGCCAGACATGGGGACAGTTCAGCTTTCCGTGGGAGAGAATAAACAAGCTGCAGCAAGCGCGAGCCCGGAGGGGGGCAGATTCCTGATGGAGACACATCTTGATGCATTCACACCCGAGGCCAGCCAGCTTCAGGACAGGGCAGGGAGCTGCAGGGATTACGGTGGCGTCTGAGCAGCCAGATAATCCTCAAAAAAGCACGAGAGCTTGGCTGGCTGTGAGGAATGTGTAGTCCAATGCTATCCCTGCTGGGATACACTGGCTGCACTGTCCCACGGCCATGCCTGCCTTAGGATCCACCTGGATCCCAGGTGGTGCTGGATACCTCTGCGGGGTGGTGGCAGGAGGGACAGCTTGTAGCCCCCTCGCTCTGCAGCAGCCGGGGATGGCAGTGGGCAGGGAGCCACCAACTGCTTCCAGAAGGGAGCTCAGCTCACTCCCCCAAAAATACCCAGGCAGCACCCAAAACTGGGTCAACCCACAAGGGCCACACCAGAGCTCAGCAGGGCCCTAAGGCAGTGCCTTGTTTGCATAACGAGGAGCAGATGGCAAGCTAACGAGGGCAGCCGGTCTCTTCGCTGCACCTCCCAGGACGCCCCACTGCCCCGGCTCTGAGCTGCCAGCCCATCACGGTGCGGTGACTGGGAGGGGGTTGCACCATCAGCACACCCCCCCCAGCACCATCCTTCTTCCCTGTCTCCACACACTTCAAGCACACCCAAAATCGAGTCCTTGGCACGCAGAGGTTATGAGGTGACTACGGGTGCAGTGTCAAACGTGCCTTTCCAGCATGTGACTGAGCACTCCCATTGCAATTACCCACACAGCTTTCTGTCCACACAAAAAATAAGAAAGAAAACCTGGGAAAATGACAAC